CTACATGAAGGGGCGTGTTTAAGATGTATGATGAACCGCAATCGACTAATGATTTCGCGTGTTTGACGGAACGGCTTCTGCAAGTTGTATTCCCCCAAAGAATTTAGGGCAAAACAGGACGTTGCAAACTGTAACCCCCCCATTAGTCTGAGGCAAAGCAGTACCCTACACGGTGGAGCTCCCCAATAGCTTGACACAACGCAAAACCGTGCAAATTGTCACTCCCCAGTGGCTTGAAGCAAGGCAAGACCCTGCAAATTGTAATTCACCAAAACGAAACCCTGCTAGTTGCAATTCCTCGATAGCTTGACACAAGACAGCAGCCTCGAAGTTGCACTCCCGCACTAGCTTGGCGCAGAAAGGGACCCTGCTAATTGCAAGTCCCCAATAGCTTGACCAAAACAGTGGCAACCGCTGCAATTTACAGTATGTAACCATAAACAGAGCCAACGTTAACAAATGAGATCTGGGACCGCCGGCGTTAGGAAAAAAACCTCCACCTCTTTTGTAGGCCTTGGATGATTTCCTGCTACATGGACATAGGCTAGATCTGACTGCAACAGTACACAGTGTGGCCGTGTGTGTCGCTACACTGTACCGTAGTGCAACAAGTTATACAACACTGTGTCACGCTGATCGTATATTGTGTGATAGAAGCAGTACTTGTCTCTATGTACCCATGCCATGACAATACAGCATGGCAGATTCTGCGTTGCGCTGCACTGCACTGCACTGCGCTGCACTGTACGCTACAGTCCTGTACTTTACCATGGTGTTCTGTACTGAAGTGTCATGTAATGCAGAGTATCGGAATTTTTTTTCGCATGTCATGTCACATACATACATACATACATACATACAGACAGACAGACAGACAGACAGACAGACAGACAGACAGACAGACATACATACATACATACATACATACATTACATAGATAGATAGATAGATAGATAGATACATAGATAGATAGATAGATGGAGAGGCACCTTTCATGTTACGGGTTCTGTAGATGTGGTGATGTGGCACTTAGGCTCAGGTCCAGTAACGTGGCGGAGAGTGCGGTACACGCATAAGTATAAGGGTGTGGGGGCTTGTGTTACAAGTTGTAAATTACACTTTCAAGACTCCGGCGCATGAAATCGAATCTCAGCACTTCCCAAACCCGGGGTTGCATCGCAGGCAGCTTTGGCAAAGTTTGCAAGGCCGTCTCGTCTTCAAGCGGCGAGGCCTAGACGGTTTAGGGTTTACAGTTTAGGGGTTTGCTTTGGGGGTTAAGGCCAGGGTTCCGGATGTTGGGGTCTAAGGTTTATAGGGTTTCAGGATTTGGGTTAACTACCCCCCAAAAACATACAGTTTTCTGTTGCCATCCATCCTAAACCTTACACCCTAAATCCAACATCCTACATCCATAATAAAATCTAAATGCTACACCCCGGCTTCCTCAACACTGCGAAATCCTAAGCCCCGTAATTAAACATGAACCCGCACTCACTCATTCGCAGTGCGCTGCGACCCCTCCTTGATCTCTTGTAACCCTAAACCCCAACCAGGCGCGAGGGGTCTGACACACCCGTGCGCTGTCTTTCTGGCTTCGTGAAAGAGGGCTTCAATAGATTCAACAAGTGTTTGGGGGATGCCGCAGTATACTTTTAGAGGATACGCGGGGATAGTGTTTGGAGCTGCATGTTATCCTAAGCCCTACACCCTAAGCCCTAAACCGTATCCTTGCTTTGATTTTCCCTCGGTGGCGATGGGCCTCGAGCCTCGCCCCCCTTAAGCGCACAGCAGTTGCAATCATGGTGGCATGTTATCTTGCTCTATGTTTTAAGCGAATACGATAAGCCATATTACATGAAGTTACTTCGTAGTATCTGCATTATGCATAGTCCGGTTGAGGACCCTAAACCCTAAACCCTAAACCCCAGCTCTCGGTCGCGTATGAGTCGGGGATGCTTTGCACTTGCTTGCTGCGATGACCAGGCCAGAGCCGTGAAAGTGCCTGAGCTTGAACATGACTCTTGGGCGGGGAGTTTTCAAGGTTTAGGGTTTAGGGTTTATTGAACAGGGGGAGTTTTTTAGGGGGATTAGGTTGGGGTTAGTTGGTAGGGGCCCTTCCGCCCTTCCGCTCTCGCTGTAGCTCTTGCCGGAAGCAGCTCTTCACATGACCCTAAGCCCTACCTGGGAATCCAAAAACCTACCATTTTAGGGGCTCCTTATTATGATTTCTTTTATATAAGTCCTTAAAAGAAAAAAGGTAGGTAGGTTTTTTACAGGGTCCAGGTAAGCCCTAAAAAGCCTGGAGCCGGAGCTCAGGTCGTAGAGTTGCTGAAGGCGGCGGATGGTGGCTTGGTTCCGGCTTAGGAAGGCTGTGACAATGCATGTGGGGAGGTTCTCTAAATGATTGGGGGGTCCTCTCCTGCTTATTCGTGTGCCATACTATTTTGGGGACCGAAATAAAAAGACAGACGCTA